AAATAGCTTTTTTTCTCAACGGCGATATTGCGCTAAGAATTCTCTTCCGTTGCTTTTTTACGTTTAAAACGAGACTACTTGTATTTAGAATCCCCCGTTATAATTACGATTTATTATCACTTACCGTTGTATTATTCTACCGTATTTACACGATGTATAATCTACACACACGTAACTTAATATAACTTGACGTTCCACGGCAAAACGATATATATATATATATTCGTCTGTTAGATTTGTCCTTCGTAGGCATCGTAACGAATTAAACGGATAATTTTCTCTTATATTGTGTATACCGTTGAAAAATGAATCGTGTGTCGTAAACATTTCCACGCATGGAAAACAGTACAATAAATAATATTAACGTAGAGGAAGAGAAAATATACTTTGCTGATTAACTCTGAACGGAAAGCAAAGTGAGAGATAACACCCCTAACCGATGATCGATATAGTAGGAATCTTCGTTTTTTTTTTCTCCTGTGAACTTTGTGCGAACTATAAGTATGCAAAATCGCCTAGATGTTGTTTATGAGGCCCCGATATAATCACACACACGAAACCATGTTTTATAATTATTACGATTTATTATCACTTACCGTTGTATTATTATACCGAATTTACACGATGTATAATCTACACACACACGTAAAACGTATAACTTTGACGTTCCACGGCAAACCGATATATTTGTGAGTGTTAGATTTGTTCCTTCAATAGGCATCGTAACGAATTAAAGAGATAAACAATTTTCTCTCTTATTGTATGTAACCGTCGAAAAAAGAATCGTTTGTCGTAAAAATTTCCACGAATGGAGAAAAACAGAACAGAAGAAATATTGACGATAATAGAACATAGAGGAAGAATATAACGCGCGAGAAATTCTTTGCTGATTAACTTTATAAACGAAAGCAGAACGAGAAATTACTTACATAACACAAGCCCGATGAACGATATTTTGGAAAAATCTTTGTTTTTTCTCCACGTAACTACTTTGCGTAAGCTACGTCTGCAAACCGCCTAGCTGTTCAGGCCCATATAATACATACGAACCACCTTTTTATTGGCTGAGAGAAACAATAAAGTGAAATCCGACAAAAAACAAAAACACCTGAGTTCTTTTCAATTTGAGATCAACACCTTCCTGAAAATGAGTAAAAGGTAATGGAAATTTTTTATTTATTTCGATTTTTTTTCGTGCCGGGGAAATTTTAGAGGAATATTAACTCGACTGATGTGAAATTTAGAAATGATCTATTTTTTGTTTAGATTGATCGTGAAATGGAAATTTTCTATCATACGAAGAGAGAGGTATGAATAAAAAATTTGAGAAAAATATACAAGTGGAGAATTAACTCCACTGATGTAAAATTTCAATTGTGAAACGTGTTAGCTTTATTTTTCATTAAAAAAAAAATTAAATCTACCGATGTGAAATTTACACTGCGAAATGGATGATTAGGTTTTATTTTTCATTTGAAAAATATTAACTCTACCGATGCAAAAAATACCAAATTGAAAAATCCGCGTTAAATTTATTTTTCATTGAAATTACGATTCTACGAATTCTGCGAGTTTTCCTTAATTGTCGGAAGTTGATTCCGCGGTTAAAAAAAGATCAAATTGTGTAACACGCGTATTTCGAGCGCGACAAATAGTTGAGCCAAAATTAGCTTCGATGACTGTTAACGGAAAAATTGCACGATGGTTTTATTTTGGCATTTTCAGGAAAAGAATCGAGTAAAGAATAACGCATAGGGTTATTCATAGAACAAGCCATTTCTCGTGTATTCATTGGTTTAAAATAAGCCTGGCTTTCGTGAAAAGTAGAGTAGTGGGGTAGGTGAAAAGTGAAGAAGAGATTAATGAAGTATGACGAGACGGGGAGAAAGAGAGAGAGAGAGAGGGTTCAGAATTACGTGTATTTTCTAAAAAAAGCTTTTACAACTGTACGACGTGTCGTATTTTACCTCTATATCTTAAATATTACGAATATATTTTACAAATCGCTTGCTTGCGCGGAGCTTTGCGTTTTTGGGACGGACGAGAAGAGTGTGGGAGGATGTCGCTTCTTTTCCATGGGTCACGAGGGTGGCTGTGATTGGTATATCTGAAGTTCTGGTAACTTTTGTAACTTTTCGAGGTCCTGCAGAGTTGATACGCCTCGTTCCTATTTGTAAGCAGATGAAATAATTTTGTTACCTCCGGAGATTCATTGTGATTTCATTATGACTCCATCGTGCATTGACAAAAGTGATCGGTAATTCAAATTTTCTTTGATAGTCAACTCGTTGTCAGTCCTATTCTTTTTAAACATTTTTGGTCACTTTGTAAAAATTTTATTAATCTTTTATGAAAGTCAAATTTTCTTTGGTAGTCAACTATCATTTTTAAACATTTTTAGTCAGTTTATAAAAATTTCATTAATTTCTCTATGAAAGTTTCCTTAATTTTCTACGAAAATTGACAAAATATCACAATTTTCTATGTAA